TTTTTTTTTTTTTTTTTTTTTGAAGAGCTTTATAGCTAAAACGCTCAAGGTATCTTTCAGATTTCAGAAGCTTTTTCGAGGTACATTCGTTTTTAAACAAAATAGTGCACTTAACAAAGGAAATATAATGTACTCAAATGCAAATAAAGCTCTATCCTTTGTTTATGTTAGATACAATTGAACAACGCCCAGTTAAAAACGTTCATTGATACGAGAAAAATTTAGTAGAAAAAACTTCACAAGCTGTTTATATATATATTAGCTCTCAAAAAACTGTAATAAATTTAACAATAAAAAAAGTTTGAAAAAATTTATCAAAAATTTTTGTGAAATTTATGTTTGCTTTTCTTAAATAAAGTTTAACGTAGTTCAATTAGAAAAAATTTCTTGTTTCTTTATGAAACGCTATATTATACCATTATTTTTTGTACCGTATATGCAACCTTTGTAATAAGTAAGTTATAACTAATTTAAACACTCACATGAATCACCGAAGCTGAGAAAAGTTAAAATATATTAACTCGGTCATCAAAATTTAACAAAAACTCTTTTGTCTGCAGAACGGTCATAGACCGACAATCGTTGGAAGCTGCTGCAAATTTCTAAGCCGAAGAAACACTGCTGCTAATAGATTATTCAGTAGACTTTAAGGCATTAGTAACGTTAACAAAAGTCAAAGTATCTCTTGAAAAGGTAACAGATTTTTTTTATAAAAATTCTTTTCAAAAATAGAATTTGAAGCTTTTTTCAGTACTTTTAACAGTTAGCGTATGATACATAAATCACTGTAAACCAAAAGCTCTACCGAGTGAAATAGAAATAAAATGTTTATTTGTAAATGTTTAAAAATTGATAAAATTTTTTATAAAAATTATGATTTATTACCACTGTTCTGCGAAAAAGAGAAAAAAGAATTTGAAAAAATAAGAATTAACTTTTTAATTCTCATATTAGGTAAGAAAATCATTGCATACTTTAATTTGCAGTTATCACTGTAAGCAGTTCCTCTAAATTCCCGATTGATTTCAACAAACAATGGCATTTCATCTAACAGCGAACTTCTTAAGATGCCTACAGATAGTTTATATCATCTGTTATATTTTAAAAAAATACTTTCTATTGGAACATATGTTACTTATTTCACTGTAACTTGTCAGCTGAAAAAAAAATGAAGTACCTTGAGAAGAAGAATTACTCGAAAACTAACTAAAAAGTTGAGATAATATGGAAAAAAAGAACCTTTGAACAAAAATATGTTATTTTCAGTAAAGTGATGTTTGACCCGTGTTTTTTTTCTCTTATCTGTCTTCCTTCTTTTTTATCAAATTTTTTAAGGTGTTTTCTGGACAGGTTTACAGAAACTCCGTCCCATACGTCTTATTTTCTTTTATTAAACTAGAATTTTTTTTTATTGCCAGTTCAAAATAGATTTCTTCATTCTGTTCTGTCAGTATTTTTTAGTGTTGAAATAAGTACAGTAAAAAGTACCCTGTAAGAAACACTCATTAAATAATATTAATTCAAGGTGTGCATTAAAATGTTCTGAAAGTTATTCGGTCAAGACGAGGGTCTTGGGGCAGCTTAACATTATCTAGCTCTACTCTGATTAGGCAAACAAGAAAATTTTGAAAAATGCAACTAGATTAAAGTCGAAAGCAACGAAGGTAAAGACCGACAAGGATCGTCTTGTATGAGGTTTGCTGAACAGCAATGCGCAGCTTACAAGAAGCAGAATAGACTTTGACTTGTAACAGTGCAGAAACGAAGTGTATTGATTGCCTGGTGATCTTTTAATGCATCAAACAAGCGTTATTGAATCAATTTCTGAAGGCAGGAGCACAGCATCAAAGTCTGAAGATAAATAAGCTGTTTACAACAAAACCAGCAAACTACCACTACGGAAGATTTGTGTAAAATTGTGAATGAAGACAATATGTACTGAGTAACCATCTCAAAAATTTATTTTCAAAGAGTTATACGCTTGAATTAGACAAAAAAATTGAATTCAAAAAGATTTGCTACGTTATTGTTGTACAAAGCCTCCGCAATATTCCACAGTGCTTACAACGCATTGTTGAATACACTAAAGAGGGATTGAAGAAATAGAATGTGAGTCATTTTACAACATCATCATTCTCAAAATTTCCAAGCCATTTAATGCTATTTGCGGCAAAACCCTATCATATGCTGGTTTCTACTCCACCACATCAACTAAAAGTTTTTGTACATATTGTTAAAAGTAACTTCTTCTTGGAAATGTCCAAACAGAGTAGTTTTATGAGGCCACAGAGAAGTGAGTTCTTGCCTCTACACTTTTTAATTTAGTTTCAGCGCAAAAACCACTAGTTGCTTAGCAGTGCGCTAGAAATGTTGACTCTGTTACAATGTTCTTGCAGAGGCATTTTAGAAATACCGTTGTGCAATTTATACTCGGGTCTAAAGCGAAGAAGAGGATTTTGAAAAACAAAGTTAAAGGAATTTCGTCTTTAGTAATATTGTTGTTACAAACTAGTCAAAATAAATGAGAAATTTTTGTGATATTTTAGTAGTTTACAGGTCTCATTCTTTTCGCGACTATGTCGTAAATCTTCACAACATGATTCTCAAGTTTTACGGCAAAGAGACTGAAATCTGGCCAAATCTGGACATGTGCAATTTGAAGGAAATCTGCGATCGAATATTTTTTCTTATTATCATCAGATTTATTTATTAATCAA